TCGAAAGCAAAGGTAAGCTTAGAAATTACCTGAAAAAAAATAAAATAAAATAAATTTTTAAAAAGAAATTACCTGAGATGTCTACTCAGTGAAGGAAAAAAACTGAGACCTACCAAAAAATCGTGACTAAATTACTGGAATTATTAAATGAGTTCAGCAAGGTTCTAGGAAATGAGTCCAATATACAAAGATAGTGGCTTTATACACTATACAAGTATACATTTTCAAAATTTGATGACTTCCAACTGTCCTTGATTCATAGTTTGCACATTCCACCTTCTGACTAGTAATAGATGTTTACAGCTGTTTCCTATTTTTGGAGTCAATCACAACAGCAAATCAAGGTCCCGAAAATTTGACTCCGTCCACGTCATTAAGGAGGCATCTCCAGGCCCTGTATCAGCTGACCCTCAGGCTTGAACCAGAGCAGACTTGTGTCTACACCTGTACGACCACTTTGTTGATGTAGATGTCACTGGCGGGCATCTCTCAAGAACCCAGCCGCTCATAGCAGCCCAGTGTGCAGCCAGCCCGCTACGCCACTGGGGCTCCCGAGGAACAAAAAGAAAGGTCTATCGGACCTCAACGAAATTTAAAACTTTCTTGTTTCAAAGGATGCCATCAAAAAGAGAAGATCATTCACAGAATGAAAGAATCATGTTGCAATCATATGTGAATATGTAAAGAACTCTTACCTAGAATGTATAAAGAACTCTTACAGCTCAACAATGAAAAGATAAATAATCCATTTTAAAAGTGGCAAACGAAACCCACAGGGGCAGTGCTACCCTGTCTTATAGGGTTGCTATGAGTCGTCACTGACTCCCTAACAGTGAGTGATTAAGAATTCTATCCATTAGTACAGCAGAGAACACTCTCAACAATGGAATTATAGCCACAGGCAGAGTCCAGAATTATAATACAGTGAAAATATTTTTTCAGCATAAGACATAACAGTGATTATAGATGCAGCCCTACCCACGTGGAATACATAGGAATCAAATAGCATATTCGGCAAGAGACAATGGACAGACTCAATACCATCAGCAAAAACAAGATCAGGGACTAACTCCTAGGGAGAAAGATGAGACTTTCTACTCTCATATATAGTAAGTCTATATTAATATGGACATTGGGCCTCCCTCAATGCAAGAACACTGTTCTAATAACCTGGCATTCTGTGATGCTCACCTTCCCAACACCATCACTGAAGTCAAAATGGGTGTATAAGCAAATGTGGTGAAGAACACTGAGGGTGCCTGGCTATTAGAAGATATCGTGTCTGGAGTTTTAAAGGCTTGAAGTTAAACAAGCAGCCATCTAGCAGGGAAGCAACAAAGCCCACATGGAAGAAGCACACCAGCCTATGTGATCATGAGGTGTCGATGAGATCAGGTATCAGAAGACCCAAAACAATCTTATCGATGCAAATGAGGGGTTGGAGTAGAGACCCAAAGCCCATCTGTAGACAACAGGACATCCCCTCACAGAAAGGTCACAAGGAAGGGACAAGCCAGCCAGGGTGCACTATAGCACTGACAAAACATAAAACATTCCTCTAGTTCTTTAGTCCTTCCTGCCCCCCATGGTCATGACCCCAGTTCTACCTTACAAATCCAGCTAGACCAGAGCATGTGCACTGGTACAGATTAGAGCTCTTGTCACATGGATTCAGGACAGATAAACCCCTCAGGAACAATAACGGGAATAGCGATACTATGAGGGGAACCAATCACAATGATCAACATATAACCCCAACCCACCCCCACAAGGAGGACAAACAACAGAAACATGGGTGAAAGGACACAGCAGGCAGGATAAGATATGAAAATAATAATTTATAATTTATCAAGGGTTCATGAGGATGGAAGCAGGGAAGGGAGGGCGAAAAAGAGGAGCTGATACCAAGGGTTCAAGTAGAAACAAAATGTTTTGAAAATGATGATGGCAACATATGTACCAATGTGCTTGATACAACTGATGTATGGATTGTTATAAGAACTATAAGAGCCCCAATAAAATTATTTGTAAAAAGAAAGAAAGCAAGAAACACACAGGGGCAGTTCTACCCTGTCTTATAGGGTTGCTATGGATCGGCAGTGAGAATTCTATCCATTTGTATAGGAGAGAACAGTCTCAAAAATGGGATTGTAACCACAGATAGAGAGTCCAGAATTATAAGACATCACATAAGGAATTACAGCTCTAAGGCCTTTATTAATGGACTACATCTCAGGTCCATCCACAAGGTCTTAAGCCATGGGCAAGGTTTAGGACAAGCAGCATTTTGTTCCACCAGGCAGGGAGGGGGTTGCCATGAATCAGGAGCCGGCTCTACTTCAGCTCACAATAAAAGACCTAGCACACAATTGCTCAGCGGGTGTATATAAAATGGAACACCAGTCTAGGATTTTGCTAAATACTAACATAAGCCAAAATTGCATCTACTCTATAGAACCTTTTCCCATTAACAGACTGAAAAACTGATCAATCTATTTCCTTATAAAGTCAGATTTCATTTTTCATCTGCACTGTGAGCAGAAGTGCTAAACAAATAGAAAAGAACCAAAATTTAAAGTATTTGAATTACCAACAGTTGGCTTATATGAAAGTAAGGCAAAAAGTATTCCTCCAAAATCAGAAATTTCTATTAAACAAAAATATTAAATGTGAGGTTACTGTTTCTCAACATATCCTCCATCTAACGCTATACTTCTAAAGGTCATGTTTCCATCTCTCTAACCTTCCATGAAGAATGAAGTCCGCTCTCTTCTATTTATATCACGCCTTGGGCATCGTCAAGGGACAGATCATGTTTCTTTGCAGTGTTGAGTTTGGGGAACAAAAAGAAGTCTGAAGGGGCAAGATTCAGGGATGTGAGGTAGGAGTGAGGCTTCCCATTGAAATGCGCCTGACGCAAGCCTTACTCCACTCAAAGAATGAGCGGTAAGTATATGATTGTGATGGGGGAAAAATCTCCTGGCCTTTTTCTCGCCAATGCAGTGTTTCCTTTTCTTAAAACTTCTTCATTTTCCCTGATTGTCCAGTGTCCTTTGAGATTACCCTTTAGAAGTCTCAAAAAACAGCTGCCATAACCTTTCTGGCCTCTCCACCTTGAACTGAGGTGGCCCAGTAGATCCCCTTAGCAGCCACTGTTTTGAATGGAATTCTTTGTTTAAAGGCATCCTAGTGTGTCCAAGATGTACTGAGAGAACTTGTTTGCGCTGTCCACTGGTCACAGAGACATGTTTGAAGGCGTTTTGTTTAAACCCAGGCCTGTCTGAACTGACACCCTGGCCTAGCCTTGTATATAAGTTGTGGTTCACTGTGACTGGCAATATCAGGCCATCCCTTTAAATACTAGGTCGCTTTCTACAAAGAAAAATAGATCACTGGTAGTTTTCTAATTAATGCCGAGCACATTCCAGGCATTGGAATGGAAATTTAACAAGTATTACCTTGTTTGATCCCAAGACGAGTACATGAGGAAGCTATTATCACATTTTCCTGCCCTATCCCCTTCCATACTTCCATGACCCTTTATAGCCCCTTCCATGGGGTCTATTCTGACTCACAGGCACCCGGTATAGGGTTTCTGAGACGGTAAATAGCTTCAGGAGCAGACTCCCTCATCTGCTCCCAAGAAGTGGCTGGTGAGCTTATCTCACAGGACAACCAGGGCTTTTTATCCCCTTTATGGAGGAAAGGAAATAGGACACTTAACAAGGTTAAAGGTAAGCTACTTATTTTTCCTGACAGCATTAACCGGCAGAACAAGACTCCAAATCTTACCAACTTTCCACACTCCCATGGTGCTTGTACTCTAAGGCATAATCATGATCATTGGTCATCCTGGAGAGGCGGGATTATGTAGTGGCTTTAAAAACTCAGTTCTCATTTTAATTCAACCATGTACTAGTCGTATAACAAAGTTTTTAAACTCTCCAAGCTTTTGCCATTTGCAAAACTACACTACTGATAGGTTTGAATGAAAAATGGCATGTAAAACAGTTTCCATATTGGGCTGAAGCAAATACTTGACACAGGATGGCTATGATCATTATTTTATCCTTCTTTGATTTAAGAAGAAAAAAAAGCCGCAAGATCCCCAATATGGCACCATACCCTGCCCCATTGGTGGCATTCTGAGAAATATGCTGCAGAATGAGTGACAAAACTGTGACTCGGTATTACACATCTGCTGGCTTAATAAAGTATCTGCACTTGTCCTTTAAATAGTTCACACAAATGCATGTACCTATTTACATACCACCATGAATGTCTGTTTTGCATGCTGTGAAACGAATTCACCTGCTATCGAAACGCTTCTTCATACGGAATTGGGCAGTGTTGTGTGTTTCCTTTTTGCTTGCGGTTACAGTATTCTAAAAAGTCAGGTGATAAGCGATGACAGCTGTCAAACTATTACCTATGTTGCTAGCCGCAGGACTTTTTCCCCCTGGTAAATCGTGTTATCCCGAAACTTCTCCGAACCTATCCAACAAAAGAAAACATCCCCTCCATGCCCTGGTCTCAAACTCGCTAAGTGATGAGTGTCTCCCAGAGCGGGTAGTGATGGAAGTTGGAGACGGGAGACAACTTATTCACAGCAAAGGGAAGTTTGCTACACTCTTTTCCTTCACGGCCCAGGGTTGAAATAACAACTCCAGGCAGGGCTCACACCGAGCTGGCAGGGCAACGTTGTAAAGAAAACAATTTCACTGCTGCGCCCCCAAATCACGTTACTTCCGTCCTCCCTTCCCCCTCAGGGTGCAACCCATGGAAACAACACGCGAAGCACCGAAAGACCTGGTGCAGCCGACGGCAGGCGTGCGCGTCCAGCAAGGCCGCGTGGCCAGTGCCCGGTGTGCGGCCGCTCCGTGGGGCGCTCCCCCCCAGGGTCGCCCCCGCCGTCCTCCCCCACCCCGGGGTGCCCCGTCCGCCCGCGGCCTGCAAAGTCCCCCAGGCCGCCGGAACGCACAGCTTCCCCAGGGGCTCACCATCGCAGCCCGAGGATTGACGCGCGGTCGGGCAGCAGGTGGGTCGCAGGCCGGGGGATCCG